TGTTCCATTGGCAAAGTGTCTCTTTTACCTCCTCAAACCAAGAATAAATGCACTTATTTTAAGAAAGAATGACTTATCTAGATTTAGATTTTTTACAGTGTAATGACCGAGAGCAAAGCCTGAGGAGAATAAAAATAGGGCTTTATTTTTTTCATATTAAAACCCTGTAGGAACTCTGGTTATATCCCATTTTCCCTGTGAATATAAGTCATATGTTCCACTCTATGGTTGTTTGACAGGTGACAGAGAGCAACACCCCGGCTGTGGCTCTACCTCTGCTGAACAATCTGAAGGTGGAACCTGTAAATGTTCCAATCCAATGTGAGACATGCAGACCTTCTCCAAAGAGACAGTCCAGTCGCTCCAGGCGCAAACAGAGTCTAGTGAACTCTCTGCAAGAAGAGCCCATCCTCGTCTGTCCGGATGACAGCTTCTTTGACTCCGGTGTTGCTTCAGACGCTTCCACCTTCCAGGACATGAGAGAATCTGATCCAAACGAGCAGAAGAACATAAAAAGCAGTCCTGAGCGCGAACTCTACTTCAAAACCCCTATAAAAAGCCACAGCCACCTCAGCTCCTCCACCCCAAGCAAGCCTCCACCTAGTGTCTCTCTCGAACCCTGGAAGGTGACCCCCGTGGGAAAAGGTGGGCAGGGCACCCTCGACTTCAGCCCCATTCGCACACCGGGTGGTCCAATAGTCACGCCCCAACGGGATTACACCACCTTCAGCTTCAACAGCACTCCATTCAAAGAGCTGCCTTTGTTCAGTTCCCCCAGGGAGCTGCTCACTCATGCTACCTGCAGAGTGCCGCCATCAGATCCCCCCTCTGAGCTGCAGCATGCAGGAGCTTCAGTCGCCCCGTCGTCTAACCGCTCCATCACAGAGGGCCTCATCCTGGACACCCTGAACGACAGCCTGAGCAAGATACTGGTGGACATTAGCTTCTCTGCCCTCGACGACGAAGACCTGGGCATTGCTAACATCAGCTTGTCTGAGTTTCTCGGTCAGTTTGTTTAGCCTGGTGGCTAAAACCATAAAAACCTGTTGTTGAACACTAAAGCACACGCAGACTTCCTCAGCAAAGCAAACCTACTTCTTTAATGCTCTTGACTGGACTCTTTAAACTGGTTACTGTGTGGGTTATATGTTCCGTCTTTGATGTTTTTAAAAGTTTATATCAGTCTAGAGGCATGATAGACCTCAACATGTTTGTTTTTAATCTTATTTTTTCTGTGCAACTATAATTTATTGATTCCGCTCCAACACAGATGAAATATTCAAGAGATACCAGCTTTATTCAGATCAATTATGCTGATAAATGTAGTTTAATTGAGCTTTTTATTAGCAACTGGCTGCATAAAAAAGGCTGCTCTCAGTAATCTGTCTGTTCTTTGGTGTTCACACATGCTTTGCTCTTTTTAGCTGATTCTTCCTGCTTTACTTCCTCAATAAAATCCAAGGGTCAGTTTTAGCGAGCAGGTCAGATTAAGAGCTTTACTGACCTCCTGTTATTTCTCTCAATTAATTTTCCTTTCATTTATCTACTCTGTATAACTTGCTTTAAAGAGCTGCATGGGAAGAGAAATATTTAAGTGTATAAATGTTGATTTGCACATCATAATATATGTTATACTGTTTTAGTTGTGTAATAGTTTGTCTGATCACTTAGAGTACTTTTTGTTTTATTGGGTTCCCGTGCTTTGCAACCCAATATTGGACCAGCAATAAAAAGTATTAAAAGTAGCACTAACAGCAATAGGATTGTCTGTGATGATTGTTGTTTTCAGAAATCTTCACTGTAATTACTGTTTGATGGGCTCTTAGCAGCTGAAGGGCACTTTGTATCTGAAACAGAGGAATTTATGTAAACAGCTAATGTAAGGAATGCAGAATATTGAGTGTTGATGTTCACCAATCTTTGAAGGACATTCTTCACCTATTTTTAACCACAAAATAATGTGTGCTTTTAAAAAAAGGGGTCGTTGGGTTGTCTTAACTCTTTAAATCGTGTCAGTTTCAGCGCTTTAAACAGCTGTTTTTAAAGAAAGTTGGTTTC